GGAAGCCGACTCGCGTGGGCTGATGCTCGATCACTGTTTATTACATCGAGGAATCCGCATGTTCGTGCATACGAGAATAAAGAAAGAATATTCTCCAACGCGATACTTTCTTCCCTTATCGCGAGATTGTGTGTATCGACAAAGATGTTACGCAAAGATCAACGGAAAAGTGTCGATGAAAATATCGCGTCGGAAGCAATCGTATTGATACAGTGGAATTCACGCTATTTCACTTTCAGCACAGGTGCGGACAAGAGCGGGATGCAACTCTCACGATAGAATCACGAGTGGCGATTGTGAATCGGTCCGCATATTCTTTCGCACGACCAATATCATCATCCGCTGAGATCGGTCGCTTTCGTCCGTCAGTTTATATCAAGAACTTTCGCGCTGTCAATTATACACTTTCCCGGCTTTCTTTCGATCGGGCTTGTATCGCCATGTTAAAATTCGCTCAAACGTCATCAAAGCACTGGTCTCGTAACATTACACCAGCGGAAGTACGTTGTAACGCGCGTCTCAACGCATCATCCTGTTAGAAGTATTCAATCTGCGCAAAGAAGACCGATTTGTTTTGCCGGCCGGGGGTTATTCCTCGCGAACGGATTAGGAAGTTTGGCAGGGCGTCGACCCGCGAGAAACCGTTCGGCCGTCCAAGCGCTATCCGCTGTACGTAACGCTCCGGTACTCCGTGTCCTACAAAACTCACGCCGGGAATTAACGCTGGGGCATTTACGCGACGACCTCTTTATCCGCTAGTACACGCTCGCGTGCAAATCGACGCGCCGTCGTTTTCACCGAGGACATTCCAATACCAGCCCAAGCGTATTATATCTTTCCGCGACCGTGAAGGCCTCGAATTCCACAAAATTGGTCTCTCGGGAGAAAAGTTTCGCGATATCTTTCTTTGCCAAACTTTCAGTATTCATGTTGACACCACCACGCGAGGTGTCGAGTATGTAAAATTCGACGTAATTTAATACGGAAGAAGCGGAAGCGACGAAAAATTCAACGAAGCGCAAGAAAATGCCAGCGCTAAGCCGATGGTTAAGGGGCAGACGGACGTGCTCGTAATACATGAATTATATGCATCCTTCGCCTTGAACTTGAACGCGAACAAACGCGGAATAAGAATCGCGTACGATTTCCTCGTTCGATTCTTACGAAACTCGCCGTTGAAAAGAAGCCGACACGAATCTACAGAGGCGTGAGGAGTTAAAACCGTGCCGCCGATAATTACTATTTCATCGTGTGGCTATTTTTATCGCGCGAAACGGTTTCCGAGAGAATGCCATCCTAACGCAGATGAGCGCGCTAATTAGTGCTTCAATAACGCGCTCTATCGCGCCCGATGAATATTCATTCGACGAACGCGCATTTGTTGATGCAATTTTACGCGGCTCACTTCTCTCTCCCTCTCTGAGCTAAACTGCTATTCCGCAAAACTAAACGTTAATTCGAGCGAGCGTATAAAAACCGAAAGAAACCAGGTTTTAATCTTTCTATCAATTTAGATCTCGTGAAATATAAAACTAATCATCACGTTCTAACCATTCATCACCTTTCCAGCGTGATTAAACGTCGTGTCGGGAAATTCGAACAATCTACCCGACCGTACCGCGATAAGTTTTCATTGCAATTCGCGACAACCCGAAGGCGCGCCGTGAATTCCAACCTGTCGAATGCATTCTGAATTCTCGATCGGTGGAGTTTACGGTACAGCAGCGCGCGCGCGCGCGTGCTCGCACGTCCACCGGGAGTAGGTGACAATGACGATGCCAAAAAGACACCACGAATATGCGAAGGAGAGTCGTCGCAGAGCTGGGCCGCGATGGAGGACGCGAGTGGCAGGAAACTGCCAAGTATAACGGTACCGCGCGACTACTTGGTGGAGGCTTCGCGCCTTCGTCGATAAATATAGAGACGAGCCACAGGCTTTGTCATAGTTCAGTCATAGTCTCATCAAGGGATGCATTGGTCATCCTGAATGCCCAAAGAGAAAGAGAGAGACGAATATTCTGCGCAGGTTAGAACCAACTAATTAAACGATAAGAGGATAACCTTTGTAAAGATTTTTGTCGTCGTTTAATTTCTCATGTCTTCTTTTTTTCCTTCGCTCCTCCCCTCTCGTGGACGGAAACGAGTCAAGTATCACAAAATTGAATTTACGATGACCTCCATTTACATTCGGGTCTGTACACTCAACTAATTATCGCACCGCGAGAGTCTCCTTTCCCCAAGGTTCAGTATTAACAATGTTGGCCGAAATTCACGGCGACATTTTTTGCGGCACGCCTAACATTCGAATCATGCGACAATCTCTTGAATCATAATGCGCTCGCTCGATTGAATCACAGAAGGAATCTATCAATCGTATATACTTAATCGATTCGAAATCATCTCGCTTCTCCCATCCCTCCCAATTGTTAGAGCTTTGCAAAAATTGATCTTCTATTTCATTGGCTCGATAGAAAGGCTCGATGAATCGTTTTACATATTACGTACACAAGTATTTTGAATGAAGCAGTCATTCAGAAAAATGCCGCCTACCTAATTGTCGAAACTCTCCGACGTTCCGTTAACCATTGTTGACACTAACGGTTGCACGATCGTTAATGCGCCGATAAGAATTACGCGACCGATTAGCATTCCCGTATCCTACGATTAACGGCCTCTTTATCGACTGCTTCTGTAGAGATTACAGTTACACCGTTAAGATAAAATGTACGCCCGGAATTCTTTCAGTCATACGCAAAATCCTTCTCAAGGTCATCTTATACCGGCTCTTCATCCAGCGATTAAATAAAATGTTCTCTCGAGGATAAGATAAATTATTTGCAGATATCAAAGAAGGTAGGATTATTAACTGAACATTCTGTGCATCATCGTCCAATTAGGTAAGTGAGCGTAGTTTATTCTCAGCAACACGCCGCGTCTGAATCCATGCGGTGAATCAACTTGGAAGAAGGTGTTTTAAGCAACAATGCATGGATTATACGAGAAATATTCCTCTCCTTGGTCGCGCTTGTGGTAACATTACGTGACACACCCGTCACCGTTCGTAGATCTTCCGCAGGATGAGAACTTCCTCGGGATGATGATTCATGTCCCGCAACGATGCCGGTACAATGGCGCGTACAGGATAGAGCGGGCTCATCAAGACTGAGCGACGTAATTCGTAATGAGGACTTGGTACATTCCTGCCCGCTTTCTCTACTCGTCTCACTCGCTCCTTCTGCCAACGCGACAGGAGATTTCTCTCGCTCCTTTCCCTCGGATCCCGGCGGGTAATTTACACTGAAACGATTCATCGAAAACTATAATTCAGAGCTATCACGCGTTTTCAAGTATCGAATGTATTGTTAAAATAAAATTCCAGCAGACTCGCGATACGCTCCTTTACAGCGCTCGAATACGAGTGCACGCGCGCGCGCGACATGCACACATTAGCACGAGGAACGAAGAACCTTAGGCACAACCGGCGGGATCAACGGTACTTCTCCGATGGAATAAAATTACACATAGTGCTACCTCGTGTTGATTACATAATCAATGCCTCGCACGTATCACCGAGGAAAAGTTCCGATAGTCAGTCGCGCTTGGTTGAAAAGAATAAAACGAGACGTAACATTTCTTATTACATTCGAGTACGGTATCACAAGCGAGGACAGAAGGAACAAGAAAGAAGAAAAGAAACAGGAAGGTTTATAGAATGATTTGATTGACAATTGAGGTGAAATATATTCTTACATCTATCTCATGTATGTCGTAACGAGATCGATTATAACGATCGAGTCTCTATGAAGCAATCGCATGAAGCATCCAGTAAAAAAATACGTTCCTCGCGTACTCGGAGTTGCGTGAGTTAATAAGCAATGAGCATTTAACCGCTTTAAACATTGTTCGCGCGAATGCGCTAGAAACTCGGTTTACTTGTCGGCCGGAATTCTCTGTTTCTCAAGATTCGAGATTCACCGACGGAGTCCAGCGCGTGTATTTTGCGTCACTTTGAATCGTGCCCGTCGTTTAATCAGAGCGTGAATCTACCTGTCGGAAAGCGTGTGGAAAGTGCATCGAAAGTACATGTAGACGCGTATATATACGCCGCGATCGATAGGCCGTCCTACTGATCACTCGCAAAACCGACGTCAAAATAACGATCGTGATAACGGACGGGGAATGTACGAAAAAAAATAAAGAAATACGTGGATCACTGCCAGACTTGCGGTAAACAGGATGAACACGCGGAGGAAAAATAGTTCCCTCCCTCGTTTTCGCTCGAAAGAGCCCGCAGAGGAGTTTCCGCGTCGTCGTCGTCGGGGAATTCACCGATGCCGAGCAACGAACCGGCGGCTTTTGAGGTAAAGTACTGTAATCGAGAGGAGAATGCCGCGGAGAAATGGAAGAGAAACGAAATATACGCGCCGATAGTTACAAAAACTGACTTTTCATTTCGTTATCTCTCTTGTGCTTTGCGATCTCTCGCATTATCCTCTATATTACCCACACAAATATAACATTACTTTTAATTGATTAGAGTGAATTTTTCCATCGGAAAACGATCGAAACTTTCTCGCGGCGTTATTTCTTCGCGCGTGTTGGCACGTGTTTTCCCGTGGACGTGGTAAATCGGCCGAACGAAGTGAGCATGCAAAATTGCCGGAAGGTAGACGGGCGTGTGCAAAAGAGGAACGGAGAAGAAAGAGCAGATGTGGGGAATGTGGCGAATGAGGTCGCTGCCGTTGAAGGCAAACGACTGAGCACCGCCTGGCAGGTTGCCTTCGAACGGAAAACGATGCCCATTCACATTCCGGGAGTGACTAATCCCCGCTATCCTGTCGTAGGCTTCGTCAGCTCCGAGCCGGCGGATCGTGAAAATTCGATTGAAAGAAGAGATTTTCGGGGGTGACTAAACGATTTGCAACGCATCTCATTCTCGTATTTCATTTATTAAAAAGTCTACCACATTAAACAAATCTAAAGTATACTTTCTGTGTAACGTTTAGCGCACAGTGGTCTCAGTGGCCGCTGATGCGGTCTGCTTCAAACATTCACTTGTGATACACATAGTGATTTTAACCACTCTCAATCCCCATTTCCTCTAACGAACACTGCAAATTTCCCTTTTTCGTATGTACACTGTGTGTGTGTGTGTAATTCACTTCCCTGCTTGCGCATCTTTTCAATGTACGGTTTGATGATGCTTATATGCGATCCTCAGAAACTTGTCGCAACAAGTTGAACGCATCATGCGCACTTGACGAAGAGACGGTAACATGGATCTTCCGGTCGGACTAAATCTATAAGTGGTTTATCGTCACGCATGGTTACCCACGTTTCCAGATTCACTCGAATCGTATAAAAGTCATCACGAGACGGCACGACCGGCTCGTTCCAGGCTCGATCTTCGCGATCGATGGTGCCATTGGTGTAACCGATCTCCCTGCACGCGGTATTTGCCTCCGCTGACGTTACTACTACCGGGAAACATTGAGAATGCCATACACCGTAAGATCGTTGCATCACTTCTCCCGTACCAGGTCTGTAAAGCAATTTAGCGGACATATTTGCTCATATAAATCAAATTTCACTCGATGTTTGAAAAACATCGTCAACTCGGCATTTTACAATTAATACACGGCTTATTGAGCAACAACCGTTTAAATTCATATAGGTGATATATATATATATATATATACTGTGTAGATTACAAAGAGCTCTCGTTCGTTTATTCGTATGAAAACGGATGCGATCTTACTTATCAGCTGTAGATTCGCGCAGCTTTCGGCATTGCTTCTCGTCTCGGCCGTTCGGACAGTCCTGATCGCCGTCACACACGAAATCTTGAGGGATACAGGTGGAGTTTCCTTCTCTGTATATAAATAAAGCTCGTTATTATTCATACCTTTGATTTGCGGCAATTGTCAGTAAGAGTGTTAAAGTTCCGAGACATTCACACGAGACGAAATATACAAAAAATCCATGTCGTGCGTCTTACATGTCGCATTTGAAGCTGGTTTCCGTGCAACGACACACGTCCGGTGATTCGTCAGTTTTATCGAGACAATGTCGCACACCGTCGCACAGCCTTTCCGGTGCAGTCAGTTTAAGATATTCCGCGCAAGTACAGCTTATGGGTTCGTCCGTACCGTCCGAGCAATCCACTTTACCGTCGCAGAAAGTGTTCTTCGGCATACACTCGCCGTTTCCGCATCGCAATCTGGTCTTGGCGCATTCTGTGAATTTGTAAAAAAACAATAAACGGAACAAAAATATCCGATATGATGGAATCTTGACGCCACCACTGAAATGATCGTTGCGCGGTGATATGACTGCTGAAAGCAATTTCAATCAATGATTGCACAAAATTTTACAAAGCAGCCTGTGTGCGGCTTAATAATGTTGCTCGTCCAACAACGGCTACTCACTGCGATCGATGTCGTTATTGTAAACCCGTTGCGCTTTGTCACACATCTCGTCCATCTCGTCCACGGCGTCTCGGCAGTCCGCTACACCGTCGCATACTCGATCCCAAGAAACGCACCATCCGATGTTGCATCGAATACCGTCGCATGTAGCCTCGGCCTCGGTCGACTGCGGTTTCCCGTCTGTGTGAACAAAAAAATGGTATTATCTCGCGAAAACACCGATTTAACCGCATGGTCGAAAAACGTGGGAAATCTCTCTCTACGCAACCTACCTAAAATTTGCGTAATGTAAGCATGAACGTAATCGATACTCGTGAGATTTCGCGTGTTCTGGAAGCTGCACGGGCCGTTCTTCTCGTGAAACACAGCCGCGGGATACCATCCTTCCTGACCGTGACACACCACCGTGCCAGTCCAATCCGACCGAGTTTTGTTGTTCTGAGCGAGATTCACACGAATAGAAATAGAGAAGGCTATAGTAACTATAGTAGATTATACATTTCTCTGCTTACCGAACATTCCGAGCGTGTAGCTTCGACGAAGCAACGGTGACACTTGTCGCAATCTTCAAGGATCGGCTGCAGGAAGACCGATTGTGTCGCGTATTCCTCGTCAGTACCGACCGCCACGCATGAATCATTATTCCCCGGTGGATAAATTCTGCAAAAGTTCAGTGAATATGAATATACGTGCAGAGGGAAAAGGATAGCGATACTCACTTCTCTTGTAGAAACAGCGGCAATACGTAACGCGTGAGTTTCACCGGGGTTTTCAAGTGGAGCAACGAGACGTCTGAAAGTTTCACCTCCTTGATGTCATCAACGACCGATATCTGCTGATATGGTCCATCGACGTGGAGGTACGAGCGACTGTAGCCAACTAGGGTCGTCGTGTAATTCACCGATAGCCTGCAATTCGTGTTTTCGTGGATGAGATCCAAGGAAATTTAACAACGCCGCTCGAACAATTCAAGTAAAATTCAAGCACAATTTAAGCAAGACTAAAGTGCCTCAAGACAGATTTCGCACTCGCCTGATATCTCTCGTACATCCGGAGTTGGACAAGAGCCAGTCCGGCTTGAGGAGTAAAGCCGGGCAACGATAACGGCCGTCCACCAAGATGGCGGCCAGCCACGGCCACAGGTAGGTTTGACTTCCGGTGTCCGGATCGGCGATCAAGTGTGAGTCGACGCTGCCGCTCAAAACCGGTCTGCAGTGTATCCGCAGAGCCGAACACGGCCCGTCTCCCGTTTTGTAATCCGTGCTGGCATTGTTACTCCTACCCTGAACTTCCAGCTTGGTCCTGTTCACGTTGACTCTCTCCACCGACTGTACACTCCTGCCCGCGATAGGTGGCTTATTTTGTACGATTGGCCGCGTGCTTTCGGGCTATATCGGCCGAATATGAACGATAATTGCGTCACTCGGATGTGTCTTTCCGGGAGAGTTACGTACCTGAATCCGAGATACCTGCAAACTTTCTCGCCGATTCTCGTTGTTAGAGTATCATTGTCACGTATCGCTGATTGAGGGCATTCCGTGCGCCACGTTCCGTTTGTGTATCTAGCGAGCAAGCCTCTCACATTTAAAGCCGGCCGATCGTCGCTGTCCACCTCTACGTACTCTCCGTTGGTCAACACGACTGAAAATTAAATCGATATTTGCGATGCGTTTCACAGAAACGCGGCGATTTACTTACAGCAATCAATCTCGTCCTCTTTTAGAGCGCAATCGAATTTTCTGTCGCACCTCCTCGTCATCGGAATGCACACTCCGCTTCTGCCGCAGCGGAACTCGTCTTCCTTACACATACCTGAAACAAACGGTCAAGCGGCTGAGTTCGTCGTTGATGGAAGAACGCGTTTGCAAAATAGTATATCGAGCACCGCAATTCTTCTCATCTGTCTCGTCGTCGCAATCCAAGTGGCCGTCACAAATCGCCGTTGCTCGCAAATTCGACAGGTAGTCCTTGCACGTGCAGCCCTCTTCGTCGGTGCCGTCCTCGCAATCCAAGCGCTTGTCGCATCTCTTGCCGATCGTTATGGTTTGGATCAGACTGCGAACGAAATAAGTCTTCAGTTCGAACGAGATCGCAAACTATGCTTCCTCTTTCCGTCATTCAACTCGCCTCGTGCACGTGAACGTCGATCTAACGCTCGATATTGTTGTCATCGTCGCGCCGGCGGTACTTGAAACTTCGTTCGGCTCGTCAGTCCGCACAATTTCCTCTCCGTTTGAAGATTTCGAAGTTGTTGTTTCTGCAGCACGATTTGTCGCAGAAATATTTCGTGCGAACATTTGAGAGCTTATGCGTTGATACGTACCGTTGGTACGTTGGCCCGCTGATCTTTCCCCCATTTCCACAAACTCGTTGCTGCCATCTGACCGCCCATTACTGTCCATCATTTGCCAGACACAATCGACCTCATCTTCGGCATCCAAACAATCCACAATTCGATCGCAACGTTTCTCTATCGGCAAACACTTTTCCAATTTTCCCTGACAGCTGAAACCTGGACATTTAGCCAATGGTGTGCTCTGGTTGGAGAGCATCGGGGATTCTTCTGTAAATATATTCCTTGAATAACTATAATAATATCGTGAAAATAAGCGTGTTTCATCTTCTCTCCGTCAGCGGGACTGTCGGGAAACGATCGTGAGAGAAAGAACGTTTCGACATCTCACCGGTTTGCTTCTGAATCCAGCGCAGAAAGTAGCTCACTTTCGTGTAAACGCCGGGCTCGTCCGGACGTGCGCATCCGTCGCCATGGCTGATCACACCCGCCACGTACCATTGCGAATTCGGATCTCTGCGCAACGTTTCAACAGTTGGGAGAACGATTACCAGGAATGCTAATTTTTATTCGACTTTTACCTGCACATCAAAGGCCCGCCGCTATCACCTTGACACGCGTCGTAACCACCGTAAGGATATCCCGCGCAGATGGTGGCGTTGTTCCGATCGAGCGTATGCTTGCAGGATGATAAAATTGGTACTTCCACTTCTCGCAACTGGTCGACTGAACGCGAAAATTGTTCAATTTCATGATGTGTTTAGTTCTCGGATAAAGAAAAGAAACTTGCTCTCTATCATCTCTCTATCTCTCGCCAGAGATTTCAGTTTTACAGAGAATATCGAATGAATAAGTGAATGAAGCTCATTGTTGCCGAACAAACGAAATTCCGTCTTACGATCCGGTCCGAATTCTCTCGTAGCGCCCCATCCGATAGCGACGCACATGGATCGCGGTGTTGGTTGCCATTCCGCTGGTAGGCAAGCCTGACGGACCCACCGATTGAAGAGGAGCCTTTCGTCCAGCATAATCAGCGCAATGTCATTTTGCATGTTGTTACCGTTAAAGTCGGCGTGTATCAGCACGCTTCTCGCTTTCCTTGACTGAGCCATCGGTGAGAATGAAAACCGCCTGAGCGTGCCGGCTTGCACCTCATAATAATGCTTCTCGTACCTGTAAGCGGAGGACAAATCGAGGGAAAAGGGGATAAATTTGTTTGCCAATTTACGATAAAGCAGCGCCGACGCTTTAGAGTGACTCACTGGGCCATGCAATGAGCCGCGGTGAGTATCCAGACTTCGGTAAGAATGACACCGCCGCAATGGAAATCACCGTCCTTGTAAATTGCGACCAGGAAAGGCCAAGCTTTCGGTTGACTCGCTCGACCACCGACCACCCCCACTTGCGGCTCGACTAGCGTGTCGACGTTGCCATCCTCCTTGCTCCGTTCGACGTCCGAATATTTTTCGTCCAACAGTTTGAGCGTTTCCAAATAAACCTCCTCAAGATCGGACTCCGCACGTCTCACATAGCTACTTTCTGTTGTGTCGGAAGGAGTGGTGGAAGCCAGGAGGGAGTTCTGAGAGACTCTGGTGCCGCAGAGCAATGGCGGGCACTTGACAAACACCGCTAAATCCGAACACGAGTGCACGAGTTGCATCTGTCCGTCGGATCTGTTCAAGTAAGGACCTGGGAAGTCGTTTGCAAACGGACGGACCATTTCTATTTTCGGCGTTTCTCTGAAAATATATATTGATCCAAGTTGGCATCTGTCCAAAGAAAATACAGGAGAATCGCGCGTTCGTTGTTGATGAATCGTAAACTGAATTTTCCCAATTCAATTTGAAATGTATTCGATAAGCAGCGACGTACGTTGCGGGTTGGCCGGTTTCTGACGCGCAGGCGTCCATCGCCCAAGAAGGTTCGCTCGAGCACACGGGGTACCACCGCCCTCGCACATTCTTATGAAGATATCCCTCTGTGTAGCCGATCGTAAATATCTAAAAGTGATACGACGATTAAGATGTCACGGATGACGTGTGAGAGAGAAAAGTGATTGAAACATTTGTTTTTCGCGCGTACATCTTTCCTATCTATATACGACGTCGAGAGTATATTGCAATCCAGCTCGTCCTTTCCGTTTTGACATTGTTCCATTCCGTCGCAACGTTGGGAAAGCGGCACGCAATTGTCACTGTTGTGACGCCGGTCCCAGTCGTCACAGCTGAAAGAATCGTCAGGGCAATCTGAAAAATCGATCGTAGTCTCAGCAAGCTGAATACACACGGACTCATATAGAACAAATGCAGCGTAAATCCTGGCAAGTTTACGGCAACTCGTAGATTTACAAAATCGCACCGGAAATGATGTTTTGTATAAGGCGTTTGTGTAAGTCCACTCTTTGGACGACGGAAAGTGTCGTGGGTAAAACAGCTCGCGCAAATGTAACTAGTACTTGGCGTCATCTGGCGGACACTCGTAATGTCAATGTTGAAAGAAGAAACCAATGTTGAAGAAAGATAACCATTTTGTAATCATTTATTATAATCCGAATGCAGATGCGTGTTGAATTTGGAAATTTCGAGGCATCGACTTTTGTGATGAAAGTGATAAAAGAAGAGACGCGGCGTGCTCGATTGGACAATTAGGTTCCTACCGTATCGTACATTTTCACCGTTTCAACACTGCCTCGTTAAAATTTATATACTGTATAACACATTGCATATGTAAAGGCGTTATCTTAGCTAAACAAACATTTGCATGAGAAAAAAGACGTTGTAGAATGTGTAACGCAGAGAGAGGGGGAGAGAGAGAGGGAGAACTTTTCAAGAAATATCCACAACTTACTGAAACAGCCGAGCTCGTCCTCTCCGTGTGGACAATCAAAGTAACCATCGCAAAGTCGATCTCGAGATATCCGATCTCTGCAAGAGCACATGGTTTCGTCGCTGGCGTCGGAGCAATCCGCACGACCGTCGCACCATTTGACTTTTAAAATGCAACGCCCAGTGCCAGCGCAACGATGAGAATTCAACGGACACACTCCGAAATGTTCTGAAACAATCATTATACCGTTCGAGACGACGATCAATACGACTCGTGATTTTCTTCAGATAATCGACTCAAAGTTCAATCCTTTGATAGATGCACAAGCTGCTTCCAAGCCAGTGAAATTTCTCTTACCCGGACTGTACGACTCGGACGGTTCTTTCACCTCGCCGGATGAGGAACGAACAAAGTGCGATAAAGTGTTGGGAGTCTGCGGGAAGGTTGGTACCGATATGTAAGTGCAAAAGTACCGCTCGCTGAACCAAGTCGGTTGCTGCTGGTTAAGCGAGAACATCGGCGGCAAGGTCACCGTAGGACCGACACCTGTCGGCTGGGCTCGCGCTTGTTCGTTATTTGATATCGGGGAGTAGAAACCTAGCGGAAAGAAACTCTGTCCGAACTCATGATTTTGCGAAGAGCTGAAATCGGATGAGCCCGGATAAAATGTGGATCCTAGTTGCTTGTTGAAGACGGGGTAGAAGCAAACCAAATGCGGCCACGTCGTGGACGTCATCCGCTGAGCGCCTTCTGCGTTCTTCCCGGTCCGCCTCTCGGCGTTGCCCTTTGCGAAACGGTCGTCCTGAATCCTGGCCGAATCTGTACATTTTGAGAAATTTCCCCCTGTTGTATGTATCGTTTCAAGTTGGATATTTTTCTTTTACTTTTATCGGGATACTTTATGTATGTGGCGGAGAGACATTCTTACGTTATATATAAATGCTTTGGCGGAAACTCATGGAGGAGAATATGAGAGCAAAAGCGGCTAAAAAGGGGAGGCATTCTATTTAAAGAAGCGCAAGATACGAACGTAGTGTCGTCGCTCCCCACTTCTTCCATTACCGCAATGTCATTATTGTTCCATCTTTATATTCTTTCCGACCACGTACCGATCGCTGCGGTGGTCGACCGATTTTCCGGACGTCCCTCAAACGAAGGATGCGCCGGGCCGCCGTCGATTCCTGTCACGTCGGTGGACTTCTCCTTTGTTTTCACCCAGCTAGCCGTTGTTGCGCTTCCTTCGGTCGCGTCGTTTGACGAAGCGGCATTGCTCCGGGAAATTTTCGCCGCACGATTGTCGACTTCTTCCGACATGATGGAAACATCACTTTGGATTTTCGCCACGTGCGAGTCGATCGAACCGTTCGGCTGTTTATCAGTGCCATTGATATCATTTATCTCGTACGTGATAAGTGAAGCTCCATCCGAGCTTGTACGATCGAGCGATGCGACGGTTAAATTCATTTTTTCCGGCCGATCGGCAGAGCCGCGAACGTCCTCCTCCGCTTCTGTGTTAGCGAAAAATCCGGTAACGGCGGATGAATCCTGCGAATGACTGATATGGTCGTACGGCAGATATTTCTCGTTCGTCACGAGTTTGCTCGCTTTCCTGCAATACAGACATTTCAGAATATCCTCGAACACGGTCACGTCAGAGCCTTTGTCAGAGAAGTCACTCTTGAGAGTCTCGAGGTACTTGTGCATCGATCGCAACAGCACCTCGCAGCGCTCCGCGCTCACATCGCACATTCCTTGCTCATTCCTCGATATCTCTCGCTTGCTGCGCGTCTCTTTTGTGCTTCGTGTTCCTCCACTCGCGAGCTTCGCCCAATCGGATGACTTTCCATCGATCGTTACTTCCGACAACGATGTTTTACCGAAGAAATAGCCTTGCCTAACGCGATCTGGAAGAATCATAGCGGAGGAGATGACTACTCGAGGACATCGGCTGGAAATTGAAGATTGCTCGAACCGCGCGCGTTCACAAACCTGAAGTATCCTGAACATCGGATAGTAACAACGTGACAGCGAGCATAATTCTCATTAAATCCCACGCGATTAACAAAGCTGCTCCGATCAGAAGAATACGTTTGTAACGTCCACAAAAGTTCGAACAGTCACGTGCGTTCGCCGACTTTGCGTTCGATTTGTCGGACTCTTGGAACACAATCGATGTCAATTCTGCGGATAAATGTAATAACACAATAATTACCGTCATTATCGTTGAGCACACCAAATTTTCTACTAAAAACAAATCAGACTTTACAAATGCTTCGCGTTTTTATCGCGCAATAAATTTACCTGTATTTTTCAAATCCGACAACACGATGCAACATGATTGATCGATTCGAGGCTGCTCGGCCACTTGCGAAATTTTCTCGATGCCTACCTTATCCGAATTACTCTCGAGATACACTAATTATATAAAGAAAGAAAGAAATATGTATGTGGTGAAGTGTGTGGTATAGTAGTACTAATGGTAGTAGTAGTGAAACCGAAGAAAACAAAATTAATTAAAGTAGTTCCCAAGATGGACAGAATATAATCGGCGGATAGAAAACTTTTTGAAAGATTACACGTTTTGAAAGCTTACTTTCGCGGCTTTCCGTTCCTATCGAGGCACACGAGCAAATACCAAATTCCTCGAAGCGAAACCTCTTCGTCGATCCTCGCGCAACGACGATTCCGACGATGACTAATCTCCGATATAGATCCCATCATACGCTCATCGCGAACGATGCGTCAACGACAAATAAATTGCTGACGGCTATTCGGTCTCCGGTTACAATCGTGTGAATGAACCTTTTTTACACTCATCTGTCTACCGACGAACGACTTACGCAAAATGAGCGTATAAAATTTTCACGCACAGCTTTGAACGCGCGTGCTCTTCTTTGTCGCGCCGATCTGATTTAACAATCTCCACGACCAACGCGCGTGATTAATGGCTCTCATTTCCATGTGGAATCTTTCCTGGGAAACTTCCAACCTGAATGAGAAGCTATCATTCTTAGTCGTTGGAAAGTGTGCCGTTGTGGGCAGAGTTACTTCTCGCCACGTTGGACGAAAAGAAGAAAAGAATCAAGAAGAGAGAAACCGGTAAATCCGGGCTTTTCTTTCACGCAACACAATCAATTTCAATGGAGCGTCCGCGAAGAGTACTTGTTCTCGAAAGAGGCTGATGTAACTTTTTTACGTTTCAACTGATAATAGAAGTTGATTTTAAGATACGTGACAAGTTGAAACTTTCCGACGCGTCAGCTATTTTGAGAAAAAGTACTTTGCGCTGCGGAAAATGATTCGGAAAGCGTAAAGCATGAAAGGCACTGTAACATTGCTGTGACTGGAAACTAATTGCACACGTTGCTGAAGTATTAATGGATCAAGTTGCGAGCGCGCGCTCACGTTTCCGCGCATTGTGCCGCAAATTGGCAATCGATCGATCGTCGGGACGAACGGCACGGCGTTGTTATCGCGACAGGTCGCGTATTTGCTAATTTTCCGTAATACACTTCTCTAATTTGGCGAAACAATTGACTCCCAGGTTAGGCTATAGCACAACTTGATGTAAATACAAAGAATGATTATTCTATAAAGCGATCAAATGATAAATTTCAGTTATTCAGGAATGAATTTTTCAAGTGCTGCAAAAGTGCAGACGCAACGAAACTGGGCGGAAGTTAAGATGTGCGAAAGAAAATGAGGAAATTGCAGGGAATGGACTGGCCGTTATGTGAATAATTTCTTCTAATTCGAAAATTTCTCTGTGACACAAAATTCCACCGTGTCAGCCGACTGTTTCCGTATGAACATCAGTATGGAATGTGCCAACTACTCGAAACATCGGAAATTTGGAGCGATGCTTTCCGTGTCGGCAATTGAGAAACGCAATACTTCCTGAAAGATCCACATGAATTCGATCGTTTTCCTTCTCCAGCCGTTATTCTTCACATATTATAATAAAAAGCGATAATGTGCGTTACATAAACATTTGAATTCGCATGCCGCGCTATTGAAAAATTATCTCTCATCCTTTTATCGTTACGATCATTTAGCGTTGCATGGATGGATAATTCAATTATCAAATGCTCGCGCATCTGCGTGCACCACTTTCAGTGCTCATCACGTCAACAAATTTTTGCCTCACACTGTTTCACACCTGTCGGAAAACAGTGGCGGAACTTGCGAAGAAATCGAATGGATTTAATGAGTAAAATGGATATAAATTTTAAAGAGACACTCACGCGACTTTCTGCCTGCTCGTATGCTGTGTGACACTTTTTCGTTTTGTGTAATTATTTATAACAAAAATTAAGTTTGTGAAGCAATATGTTGTTATGAATCGTTGTTCAAATCTCCTCGAGACAAATTTGGTCATTGTAGAGTAGCGTTTCGCTCAAGTTGTTTCGGCTATTGTAGCGACGATAATTGCACAATCCGCCTAGTCTTACTTTCTCTCGCGAGTGTTCGAGCCAGTACGGATCGATGAAAGTGACAGTCCACGTTTCAACGTCGTGCACGATCGTATCGACGGATATCGCGTTCGATCGCGATGCTTTCGATTCCTCGCGATTACAGTTCGTTTGCACTTGAAAGTCTGAAGAAAAGACGCTCACACACCGTGCAGTACCGATGGTCTTAACCAACAGCGATCAACGTTTCTGTTAATAAGACATTATTGAGGAAACTCGTTCGTCAATAAAAATGTTGTGCAATTAAGTGGGAAACATAGAAAGTGTGCAAATTGACAAATAATTGTGAGAAAACTTTGTCACGACTCTTTACAGACGTATGTAGAATCTGTGATGTGAAACTAGCTCCACGAATGAAATTCGGCTAAGAAGATTTGGAGAAGGGAGACCCTTTTTTCGCGAATCGAAAAAGGTTCCCTTCAGACGTATTAAGCTGAAAATATCCGAAGATTTAAACAAACCTTCGTCGAGTAAAGCGTTGATCGATGAAACAACGCGTCCCGAAAAAAGAAATATAAAGTTAAAATTTAAATTAATCTGGTGAATATACGGAGTTTTTCTTTTTGGTTGATACAAATTCAAGCATAAATTCATCATTCACGATCATTTTTCCACACGCGGAAGTGGAAAAATGACGCGCACCGCAATTTCGGGCGACATATACGTCTCGAAGGATCTCAGGACGGAAATTGCTCCCGCGCCGCACGAGAAATCACAGGTGAGATTGCTGGGAAAATAATGTTCGAGCTGGTGTGCACATCGGAGATTCAAGGTAAATCGAAGCTTTCGATACATTTTTACATATAGCTATCCATTCGCCGCTATTTGAAATGTCTCTCTCACAGGCGGTATATTTCCCTTTCGCCATTGGAATATTCATCATGAGGGAAAGAAGTGTGCGCGGTTATGAAGCTGGCGGGTTTTGTTTCCAGGAAAATATCGTCTGCATAAAATATCGTTAAAATATCGTTGCGATTTCAACGATAAAATATCACTGAGACAATTTGCGTCTTGTAATCTGCCTAGAATGTACGTTATCCTTTTTACGAGTTTGCTCAGACCTTATGTTCATTTTAATAATTTTGTTACTTCATCAAGCCTCCCCCCTCTCTCTCTTTTTTTATAAATCTATCTTCTGAGCTCACTTAAGACAGCCGGGAAAGCGGAAAGTATGTAAGAAACTTAAAATGTAAAATATCGAATTTGTTGCGATGCACTTTTGCCCAAGTGTAAAATTTTACTGACATTTTATTTTCAATTCGAAACACTAGCATAGTTTGCCAATGCTCGATGCTTTACACGTCAAACTTGTCACACATGACGCGTTGATAAATATTTAGGTGCTCATTTAAACGGATCGTTGCACGTGTATTGCGTCACAGGATAGTTGCAACAGTGTTTTTTTTTGGAAAATGAAAAATGACAACGAAACAAACCTATGATTCACGAGCATACATCGGTCAGACAGCTGTCAAAATTACATACATACGTATGACCGACAGTATGCTTCTTTTTAATCGCTTTAGAGGCGATGCAAATTGTTAACAATGAGCGAACATAAAAAGATGAAAAATTCACATTTAGCGTTAATGTGAGAGATCACCGTGATCGTCACGGTTGAATGATTACATTAATATTGTGTATTTGCAAGTATGCGCAAATACATACATTTTCTTTCGAATATTTTTGGGCAATAATTGGGAAAGAATCGATAATAATTTCCAATCGCTATCATCGTTTTCAGCAGCTGAAACAGTTTACTCGCGGTGCGTGTCGTGACGTTAAAGTTAGGTCGTAATCCAGCCGAGAGAAGGAAAGGCACATGAGAGCGACAGAGATGAGGAACGTGGTCATTGTGTGCAATGAGAGAGTCGTTTCCTTCTTCCCCTCCTTCGCGGCTGAACATGTGAGTTCCAACATTGGGTTATCCGAGCGAAGCACTCGTTGTGACGCGATCTCGTGGCAGTCTCAACTGACACGCCGCGCGCTTCCCTTTCTTTTCACCAGAAAGAAGTCCATCAGCGGCGACCATCACGATGCATCAGGTGAATCATTGGTATCACTCGTATCGCTCAACTCGCAAAGGCGTGCCGCTTACATTTACTCGTATGAGATATATTTTATATTTTGTGTTATGTGATGCTCGCGATTAGATGGCGTCGCAGCGACGTATCGTTTCCACAAGATCGAGATAACATCGAGTTCTTGCGCCGGTAACGTTCGTTGCAACGTTCTTCGTTGCTTCGACAGCAGCATCTTCGGACGGACGGTTACACTCACGGCCGATAATTGGAATAAATGACTTAGGTATGTAATGTAATTTATCTCTTCTCAAAGACAGTGGAGAGACGCATTGGAAATTTAAAAGTTTTTACATGGAATACAATTTCTTCCCACGAGAGGAATACGTGCAATGCGGATGATGCAATACGCGGGCGAGATTCGGTGAAAAGTGAAAGCGCAGTGTTGGCATAAGTGACATAATCGGCCGTCTCGTCTCGAAATTTAGCAGCATCCGGCTCTTACTTGGTCCTATCTTCCCGATGGCAGATAGCGACCGCCCATAACCGAGCGAAATTTATGCGTGTGTGTAACATAGTTCGTACGTAGTTCCACTGAACTGTGTTCTTGACGACTTACGGCCTCTACAAACCATACGACGATCGACGAGAATATTATCGCACAAGATATAGATACTGTCTGACAGTTATGCGCTCTGCCGAGAGTATTCGACGGGTCGGTTCTTCCTCCGCTTTAGCATATCGCCGGATACTCGAAAGATCAACACCGGTATGTCATAATCGAGACGTCGTCTTGCGATTTGGCCTGCAAAATGCTGCGCACTGAGAAGAATAATCCCGATTGTTTTCTTCATTTCTTCGAGTGTACCTTTCTCGAGTGTGGCTGTAACCGTGGAAATTCCATCCTTTCGAGACATGGTTGAAAGCAAAAGTAACACAAATCATTGGTACAGCGCGTATATATAATAAATAGCGTGTATGTGTGCGTGACTAAATAGATACATAAGAATCAAGTTGAACGAAAATGGGGAGTATTACAGCGACGTAAACATGTTTCTCTTCATTCCTCTCATTTTACATGTGAAAGTGAACACACACACACACACACACACAAACACACAGACGGTACATGTTTCGACAAAAACTGCAGCAAAAATGACTTCGGTCGAAAAATTTGCAAAACAATCAACCGGTTGGAAGCGTTATAATATGCGTGAAAGATATTCGAGCGAAGTTGCCGACTATAATATAATATGCATGTAGCGGCGTATTTGAAATATTTGTACAAGGACAACGCGAAACGCGACGCCCGTGAAACCACGAGCGCGTAAAAATCCACGATGATTTATCAGTATGATCACGGAAGCGCGGAGCTTCCGTCAATGGCTCCATCATACCGCCGGTGTATCTGCACGTCACCCTGCAACTTTTGTTCTGATATTTTTGCTTTGTGCACATCGGTTATTTCGATTCGAAGGTGGTACTTTATATTTATACAATTAAAAAGATTTTATCTGTTCTCTAGCGTAGTATTTTCCGAAATGTTCACCGTGGCAATTGTACGCGATCGTACGTAAAGAAGAGAAACGGAAGAAAACGAGAAAGTTAATTGCTCTGGCGAACGAGACTCGTCTCATGTGCAAACGTCACATGTTCGTCAACGTGACGTCTCTCATGATTTTCAAACGTCTTCCGGCCTCGATCAATATATAGGATATATAATATGCAACTATATATAATATGCAACTATCATTAGCCTTAAATGATTAAAGGTCGGTTAAATGTTCTTATATCAGCTGCTCACGAGACCAGTTCTATAAATTGCTGATTAATGTCTCGCGCGATCGATCACGAAATGTAAAGTAAAAGAGCGATGTGTAGGCGAAACATATGCAGCATATTAAAAGCGACTCACACCAGTCTCTCTTTCTCTCGCGCGCGCGGGATTCAATCAAATATAAATTAAGGCGAATCTTCGTCACAGGCGAAAGATATAACGAGACCGCATCTTGGGAAACGGCATCGACACGACAATGAAATCTCGGTGTCGTTCGATAGTTTTTGAAGAGAGAGGCGAGCGCATACATTCTGACAATATGAAGAATTCGCGTGTGACATCACTTCGGAAAACAATATTGCTACTGAAACCGTAGAGATTCTGACACGTAGGGGAATAGTTATTCGAAAAAACAATGAAGATTCCAACAGATGACAAATGTTTCGGTTCAAACGTGCGGATTGTACACACGCAGTATATATGAGTAAAACCAACCAATATGTTTGCCATATTGTATATGTGCAAACGCACAGCTCTCGGTCCGATGAATTGAAATATCGAGCGACTTATATTAACTTGCGCGTTATTCGTAAACAGCATTGCACACAGAAGGCGTGTGACAAACGCAACTAATTACCATTCTCCTTTCTCGACTAAAACCAACGAAACATGGAACTCATCATTTCACTCTTTGTCTCTACGTACGTAATTTACAATAAATTTCAATGCGCGATATTATATACGACAATAAAAAACGCATTTACAGCCAGGATAATAAATCCCATCCCGTGTGTGGAATTACGAACTTTTTTGTATCCCTCCAGATTGCGTGCAGACGCGACAGCAATTGGCAGCAACCTCTAGCTAACTGTCGAACTGACTAACCGAAGGTGTTTTCCGTGAAATTTTAGCCTTCTCCTTCCTCTTCATCGAATATTCAGACTTACGTACGTAGTGAGAGTCCTTCGATCTGAGTCGTAAGGATCCGTCGGCTTTTCTTATCGCTCTAATGAACGTTCAATGTTGTTGTACGTGGTCAATACCGAGAAACAGCTTGTTCAGACGATTCAGCGTCGAGTATTGACATTCTATACATATCTCTTGATAAAAATCGCAAGCAGAGTGATGAGATTGTCAGAGTATTACACCTGAAATGGAATTTTCGCGACATAAAAATTCAGAGACTTCTCATCAGTCCGTCCACGCGATTTTTTTTTGGCAATGTTAATACGAAAAGAGGATTGTTGTGTTCGTCAAGAAAAAAAGAGGTACGCACTCTGAGATATATGAGACGATATCTCGTATCGGAACATTTTCAAAGTGCGATTAGAAATTATCAGAAATCGATGATTGTCTTGATGATAAATCCAAAGATCTCGCGCGCGCGTCAAGGATATATTCGCTGCCGTTGCGCGTGCACTTCTCATATCGTTGTCTGCTTCCAGTCTGACCGGTCAAGGGACTTGCAAGGCTGAATGGATACGTCAGTGTCGTCGTTCCTAAGAACCCGTGGCTTATCTGCGTTATGGCTCCTCCTGGTGTTATCGCCGGCCGTTCGTGCCTCCTACAGTATCGGCGTCGGAATAGCCGACAGCACAGGACCGACTGCGGAAATAGTTTTTGTTAGTAGTTTGGACAATTGTAAGGGAGCAAAATCCTTGTTTCAAAACTCTCTCTCATTCCCGAGATGTTTATAAAATATGGATCAATAAAGTTAATGGAATGATTTCTTGGGAGTTGTAATCAGAAAGATATAAAACGCGAACGAAATGTGACAGGAGCGAATGATGAAAAATAAAATGTCACACGCGATAATCCCGTGCATTTCAGATGGGATACGCGAAAATTGATCAGAAGGGGAGTGGTCTTCATCTGCGGACGTTCGCCAGAGCGTTTATAATCGACGACGGTGCGGAAAGATTCGTGTTTGTCAGCGTCGATTGTGGAATGATAGGGAACGATATCCGGCAGGAGGTAACGTATATGTATTCCTAATCGTATAATACCACACAAATCCATAATCTGTTCTACTGTTGATTTTGTCTCTTGTATGATTTTCGCCTTACGAAAATGAATTATAAGAAAGTACAAAGTTGTGCTGGGCTCGATCATTTGTAACTTGAAAAACGGCCATGTCCCGATTCTTCTTTACATCGATTCTCAATGTTTCAAGTTACTTTTCTCGATACTTTGTACAATTTATTCGCTCGTACCAACCTCCGCTGAATTTTGGGTTCTTTGTTTTGTTTGAAACTCTTCTTTCAAATCACCAAATAGGAAAATGTGCATTTATTGCTCATTATTCAATATTCACCGATATTCATGTATAAACGATACATACCGTGAAATCTATGCTTGAAATCTGTCCGAAAAAATTACGATCGAAATTTCGACCTTATATGACATTAGATAAACATCAGATATACGCAATGCATGTAAATCTCAAAGATTGATCGCGTTTTCGTACGTCATCAATACGAGAATCGTGTGGAGAAAAACGCGTTGTAACATCACCGTGTCATTTTGATTGAATAATGCGCTCCGCCGCGAAATACGGTCGTTATCTCGCGAGATGTTAAACGATGCCAATCTCTTGTTGATTGCGCAGGTACTGCGCAAATTACGGGGCAAATTTGACGACATGTATACGGAGAAGAACGTGATGATTAGCGGCACGCATACTCACTCAAGTCCCGGTGGCTTCATGCTCGACATGCTCTTCGACCTGACCGCATTTGGTTTTGTCAGAGAAACGTTCGACGCTATTGTTAATGGCATAACAAAGGTGAGCGCAAACAAATGTTGCGTGAAACATTGATCCGAAAACAAGCGATAACGCTTAAACCTTTTTAGAGCATCGAACGTGCTCACGACGCTGTTGTGCCTGGAAGAATCTTCATTACTCACGGTCAAGTTTCGGGCGCCAATATCAACAGGAGTCCGCAGGCATATCTTAATAACCCGAAATCAGAAAGGGACAGGTGAGTCCATGATGCATATTATATTATTTATTTTTCCTTTCTTTTTTCTTTCTAATCGATTCCAAGAGTGAATAAACTCGTTAATCTGAGCGAGCACTGAAGGACCGGCTACATTGGAAGTAATTAAGTAAGAATTGGTTGGTAATAAGGGAAAATGATCCATTTCGCTTACTCCCGGTGTTACGCTTTATTCCACTAAAAAAACTCTTACTTCGCAGTGTTGCCACCTCGAACGATCCTTAACGGTATTACGTTCTTTATATTCGGTTTGTAAACCACGATAGTCAACCACGTAGCTGGATTGCTCAGATTAACATAGCTTTTTCATTCATTCTCGATATACCGCGAAAGCACCATATTCATTATGCAAGTTGCCGATACTTACAAGTATCTGCCTGGCGATCCTTACAAGTTCGAGATTTATCGGGTGTTGATCAACTTCACGATATTTCTAGTTTCGCCGATAGTAGAAAACATTTCTTACGATGATTTTTCTTCTTGTAACAAGAGAGGACATAAAATTAATATTCTCGTCTGTTTCCAGATACGAGTATGACGTGGACAAGACACTGACGCAAATACAATTCATCGGCGCTGACGATAAGCCCCTGGGTGTCATAAATTGGTTTGCCGTACATCCTACTAGCATGAACAATACTAACCACTTAGTCTCCAGTGACAACGTGGGTTACGCCTCACTCCTATTTGAAAAAATGATGAATAATAACGCCATGATCGGCAAGGTGAGACTTTTCTGGCGAAACTATCGCGAGTGTCTTGAAAAAGATCCCGGCATTCGCCCTGTTTAAAAAGAAAAATTAGCCTTAGTTGGTCCCGCAATGAAAAAAAAAAAGATAGCAAGTGTATAAATATGTTGAAATGTTCGTGCAGATCGAAATTCAGTACATTTTCACATTGAAATAAATTTATCTCAATGAGCGATTACGCACATGTCGCGTGCAGACGACGATTTCGCGAGCTTCCGTTCTGTTCACAAGAAGTCGCTTGTGTCATCGTTTCTTTTTCCTTTTCAAACTGAACCCACTTAGCCTTCGCGTGCTGTATTACTTGAAATGTTGCGTCGCGGAAACGTTATATATTTCCTTGATTTTATTATGTAATTACTTTTCAGCTACCATTGCATCGCAATAAAAATTCACGTTTCAACCCGAATCAAAAAAGAGAAAAGAAAGATATCGAACGCGCGGCCAAATTGAAAATTGAAAATATGCGATGCTTCAGCTAACACGATTCGCAAGCATATATTGGAACGTTAAATTAGCGAATTAATTTGACCGTAATGAAAATATCCTGGCGTATATAATCAAGGGTTAATTTCCTTTCCACTCGAAATAAGCCCGTTGTGCAACACAATTAAGCTTTAAATATATTATACATGGGATTTTGCCACCATCGTTTCATATATTTCCCCTCTTGTTACACGCGCGCGGTTCAAGCCTGTGGAACATAAATTTTTATCTGAGGAAATTGTAAACTTAGACGAAATTGAGAAATATGCGATCCAAGTGCCATGATACTTTTTTCTTCTTTTCTTTGTTAGGGTCCCTTCGTAGCGGCCTTCGCATCGACTAATCTCGGCGACGTTTCACCAAACACACGTGGTCCAAAGTGCGAGTTCTCCGGGCAAAACTGTTCCGAGCAGTATACGTGTCCCGGAAAGAAGGAGATGTGCTTCGCCTCCGGTCCCGGTAAGGACATGTTCGACAGCACCAGTATTATTGCTCACAAGCTTTACCAAGAGTCAACGGTAAGTGCACCTCTAGTTTTATCTCTACAGCCTCCCTTTTTTTGTTTCCCCTTCGCATAATTTCGAGTGACGTTCCGTACGGGATATTATCTGAAATTCATCCGCTTTAAAAAAGTCGAGCAGAAAGGTGTAACCATTTCTTTCCACTCACGCGCGTCCCGACACTCGTAAACGCAAGAACGACGCGTTAATTGAACGAAGAGATCAGATTATGCCGTTATCGCCGTGAAAATGAAACAAAAGTGGAAAGCGGAGATTTCACGGCAACGCGAGAGCAGATTCCCAAGGTGTATTTCAATCGAAGAGTCGGAATTAAACGCGTTATCGCGCCAACTATTCGCGCTTTACTTTATCCTATATGCACGTACATACAGGTGTACATTATTAATCGCGATATTAGCGATTAATAATCGAGATAATTATCAGAGGTGCCATTTGTAATCGAACAAATATGCTATCGATATATCTGACACGGTACTTGACGTTATTTCATTACAGTCGAGAGAGTTCCTCTCGCAAAACTGGTTAGATAATCCGCGTTACGTCCAAAGGGGATCAAACGAGAAATGAAACGCACAAGCGACTAATTTTATTGTATTATTAATTATCGCTAATGTTATTGACTTCCCCTTTACAAGTTCGTCCGTTGAAGGTGAAATTCCCAAGCCGCAATTCATCTCGAGCGATGCAGTAGCGTCGCCACACCAAGTATTGCGCGAATTTTATTTACGTACGAAAGATATAAAAGACTTAACATCTATTTTCCTTATTTTTAACACGAGCCATTTCCTAGTTGACGATTTCATTCACTACGTGATCGATATCACTTCGAAACGTCTACTCCCTTCTGGCTTTGATTCTAATCGCTCTGCGACGACCAAGTTCCGTCCTGGAGTTCCGAACTGTCGCGGACCTCTCAGAGAGGTCGGATCGGCACAACGCTTTCTACGAGCCGCCAAATTATTTACATACTCATCTTCTCCTAACTCTGTTTCTAAATTGTTCGCCGCACTATGGTAATTCAAGTGTTGTACTTTTAAGACTGACTGAGCGCACGAGAGATGTTCTCTCATGCGAGAACTTACGGTCGCTCGTTACACAGTCGCGCCGCTGCAAATATAAATCGATAGCTCTGATGTGAGTGGTTACATCTCAATTCCGTCGTAAACAATATTTTTCTTCTTTTTCTTTTTTCTTTTTCTCAAGGAAGTACGCGAGATTTGGTGCGATTCCACACGTTGGATGGAGAAGCGTCAAATAAATAGATACAAGCTCTACCCCTGTGTTATTCTGTTATCTGAAAATAAACGACGTTCGCATTGTCGCTACAGCAAAATACAATCGAATGTCTCGGAAGGAGCATCGGGAGACGCAATACAAGAGAGGGACAAGATTGTCTGTTTGTACGTTTCTCGGTAAACATGGTAAAAATTTTATTTCTTATCTTTATCAAGCGTTCAAAAAAACAAAGTTGCCGTATATCGATAAAAGAATCGTTTCGACAGTCATATTCGCAGTTACAATGCAAATATTGAGGGTGTTGATTAGAAACGTAATTAGAAACGTCTATCGATGCCCTTTAGCGCGAGACCCCCGATTCTATTTACACGACGCTTGAGTTAATAATGCTTCTCGTAGTCGTAATTGTTGTAGTACGCTGGCGAGACGTATTTGACGACCGGAACAGGCTTCGGATGCAACGCCGGTCCAACCTTTTTCACCACGGCGTTGAATCCGTTGTGATCGTCCGCCGTGTATTCGACGATTCGCACGCTTCCGTCGGGCTCGTTCACACTATACGAGCCGTGAACAACGTCGCCGTCGCGCACCTCGTGTTGCGTTTTCACATCGCCGGTATTGGGGTCGTGTACGCCGTAATTGAAGGTGTACCTGGGGTGCGACTGCAAGCAATGCGGTTCACGAGTTATAAAATGCGAATTCGCGAGAAGCACTCTCTCTCTCTCTCATGTCAATATTTTTCTTCTCTTTTTCAGCTTCAGTTTTCCAACATTTCACACCCGCGTTGTTATTCTGAACGGACAGATTCATCTTTCTTTTTTCCCTTCACTTTGTTTAACTCACTCTTTTCTGTCTTAACGCTAAAACGGTCAAATGACCGGTTTGTAATTTTTTCTTATAAAAGTTACTCTAATTGCTAATGGTGCATTCTCTGAAACTAACTGTCGCAATGTGTAAATGAGTAAATGTTTTTTCCTTTGCATTTTTGTCAAAAATCTTATTTAAACCGTTCCGGTAAAAAGATACACGTTAATCGTCGATAGTTTTAATATCAAGTGACTAAACATAAATTTCACTTGGATTTGAATTCTCGTTGTCTTTTCCTCTTTGGAGACTCCAAATTATTCTCTCCAGACAATCATCGTCTAAAATTTTGACAAAACAATTAGCAACTGAAAATATTCGTCAACTAACCCGAAGTTAATTTTAACAAATTTTTACAATGGCCGGCCGTGCTGAGTTGACTGCTGAGTTTGCTGCTTTACTCGAAACTATATCGCAACTGTGTCTCGTCTAGATGCGCGATACATTCTCTCGTCCCGATATTACTCGAAGCGCCGCTTTAAATGACAATTAACATAGCGAGAAAGCAGCGACGATGGAAATCGTAAACGACGCGGAAAGAGAACCGGCAATAAGATATGATGAGGATACAGGAAGCACAACTAGACACTGCTTTTCAGAGACAGTAATTTAAATTAACATACGCGCCAAGCGTGTCTGGAAATATCTTTCCGCCCATAAAGCACGGTCTAGTATCCTCCCGAGTACGGAACGGAACGTGGATTTATGTCAAATTTTGAATAATTAGTGAACAAACGGTTAGAAACGGTGGAGGATACTTTAAAGAAAGATGTACCATAAGCGGCGCTTCTTTTACAACGATAATCACGAAGAAGAGAATATTTCTAAATTTGCGTCACTGACCATTTTCACGAGGAATCATTCTCGGCAACGCGCGGTTGGAGCAAACATCTACGGTGCTTGGGAAGGAAGAGAGAGAAAGAGAGGCGAAAATGAAGAATGCTCACGTAGTAGTCGTGATCGGTGTCGTCTTTGTGCAGGCCGTGATCTAGGGACGCGTCGACGTGCACCGGTGCGGCGGACACCGCATGCACCGGAACCGCGACCGTCGGCAGAACCTTGTATTCGGCGGGTCCCAGATATCCATCGAGATCGCTGTAGTCGCTGTAGGACAGGCCATGGCCGCCGTTGTAGCCGCTGAGAACGACCGCGTTACCGCACGCCAAGGTGGCACAGAGGAAAGAAATTGTCTGAAAGACACAGTCCTCTGTGTAGTAAGCGCGTCTCTACGATGGAAAGACTTGAGAGAATTTATCGCAGTCAATTTATCGTAGTCGTTGCTTGGCATCGTCGTAAAAAGAGAGGTTTTCTATTTAGACGATGAATTTTTCAGTTTTGGAAATTTAACCGATCCCCCTCGGGAAAAGAAAATGCGAGCGAGGATTGCTGGATTTGAAAAGTCATCGGCTTGATGTATCGGGAAAGTTTCCGCGGAGATACGCGCTTCTCGTGTTCCGACATTTCGTTATGGTCGCGGCTCGGAAGTGTCCTTTTCACTTTCACACCGACCTTGCTCCCCGCAGGCCGATAGATCAATTTGATGCCGCGGAAGTGGTTGAGAATTCCGGTTCCGTTATGATGCAAAAGGATTACACCCTCGCTGAAAATATATGTACGTCTTGGAAAGCTGACGTTCAAATAACACGCGATTCCAACGCGATGAAACCAATTTTTTCATTGCATAGATGAAAGTGTGAAGAAATTTCTTTGGTATTTGTGTGATGCTTTGATGAAAATGGATAACATCCGCCAATGGAGAAACGATTTTGCGTCGTTACAGCAAAAATGTTCAAAAGACATCCTGGTGGACGCCCCCCAAAAAAAACGCCTCTGGAACGTCTGTAGGATATCTTTGGAACATTTCTGCTATATCAGTCTCAAAGTTTCTGAAAGTGCAATTTTACCTCGTCATTAATTATGTCTTACAATCATCACCGACTCGACGAGAAAAACAATTTCAAAGCTCTCTCGCTCTCTCGCTCTCTCGACACGAAAAAATCACCTTGAAATTACTCTTCTATTCGTTCGGCGTTTCACAGTTGGCATCCTACAAGGAAGAGGAAAGAGAGAGCGAGAGAGAGAGAGAGAGATCCATCGGGATGATAGACGCGGCGGTTCTCTCGGTCGGCAGGAAAGATCGACGCACACTCGCAATCACTCAAGAGCACCCGTTCATACCACACTCGTCATATCGCGAATCTTCTCTTTGTACCTTCAGCATGATGCTTGCGACGTTTCAGCCGTTCCGCGCGTTTACTGTATGCGAGACCGTAGTGCAAAGTCACTGATAGCATTATTCCCGGACGATGGGCTTATATCCATCTCCCACCCGTGATGCTTCCGTTCCGGGCAAAAGCTCTCGGCCTCGTGCCGCCACCACCACCACCACTCTACGACCCTACCCTCTCTGCATCTTTTTGCGTATGAGAAAAACACGCTTGTCCACGTGCGGCTCACCTTCGCGAACGTCGCGTCACTGCTGTCGGCGTTAGAGAGTGGAGATTCGGCGAATTTACTTAGTCGTTCGTCATCGCCATTATCGCGCTCGATCGTTCGACCGAAAGGACGAACGAACGTAAGGTCTCGAGATCGGTAAAACGCGCGGATAGGATGGTTGTCCGTCGCTGCTCATGGACGTCACTCGTGCGAATCCTGCAGTTAGACGTTAAAGATGCTGCGGAATGATTCCGGCCGTCAGGGTCGATTGTGCCGAAAGGATAGATGGAAAGTAATCGCCGACGGATAAATCTTATTTCTCGACTTGTTCGGGATCATATACACACGAGAATTTGGCACAACAATACAACGAAAAGTAGTCGAATAATTTGAAATCAAAAACCAATCAAAAATTTCATACGAACAAAAAACGACTCGATTTATTATTATCGATTATTGCTGCGATTTAATAATATTGCACGAGAAACCTCATATTACGAATCGCTCTCTCTCTCTCTCTCTCTCTCTCTTGGGGAGATTAAATTCAATAACGTTATACGAGCATTTATTTAACGATTCGTTTCACGTATAAATTCTAGGTATTTCACTGGAGATGCATCGAACGTTATTTTCACATGAAACATTTCCGTCGTTATTGACGCGAGATATTTTCAATGAAACAGATTTTATATTACTAAAATACAATATTTCGTTTAAAATGTTTTGCTTCCACGTACTGCTTGCGCAAGGGAAATTTCTATATTCTCGAGGAGAGAATAATTGTCAAATGTAAGCCAAATCAATTAATGATTTCAGCTTGTTATACAAAGTTTCATATTATTAGATTAAATATTAGAACTTGCGCCCTAAGGGCTGTATAAAAATACGGTCGACTGTTTATGCATCATTGTTTCTACGTGTGTAAGCATTGCACCATCTGTTGGCGTAACTCGTCCTCTCAACAGGAGCACTTCTCACTGCGTGCCTCCATAGTTAAATCAAGTCCGTGCTTCCTGTTTGTTTCTTACGTTTTTCTCTGTTTTTTCTCCCTTTTTCTCCTTCTTTGAGAAATCGCTTCCTTCGAGAGAGAGAGGAAGAGAGAGAGAGAGAGAGAGAAGGGGAGAAAGCGCTGTAATTAATGTGCGAAATTAACGCTAAATTCTGTCGAGCGCGATAGAAGCGGACCACGCGTTGCAGAACATCCTGAAGAGAGACGATATATTTTTCGCGTGCTTGCGCGAGAGCGATTCGCTCTGCCATTCGTGACTTAGGCGTGCGGAACGCGTTCCGGAACGCGTTACGAAAATCACAAAAATTTCACGCGATCTCGTGACGTAATCGCAAAGATGCAAGGGCACGAGTTAAATTTCGAAACACATTTCGCGTATAAACGAGACACGGATTCGAACGAACGTAATGCGCTACTTTCTCGAACTCGTACGTAAAACGAGTCCTCCTCATATCCGGAATGAACAGTCCACAATCGTGCTACATTTTAAATATTATAGACGTAGTTCATCTCACTTGAAAACTGACAACAACAAATTTGAATGATGCTCGATTGAGATATTTCGCATGTGACGCTTCGCAATCACGGAACGGACAGTTGCTTTTGAATCCAAGATACGATTTGTTTAAGAGAAGGAAGCAAACTTAATTCCAAGATGTGGGTTTCGCTCCGACCAAGGCGTGGCGACTTCTGTTCTACTCGTCGCTTACGCAATTCTCGACAAAGCCCGTTTGTCTTCGAGAACGAGCAATGGTATTTCTCTCTCTTTCCACACGTATACATCATCGTCGTTCCGTAAACGCGATCCGGTTAAAAAAGACCAGTCCCGCCCGAATGATTACCGCAATCCATTATCCGGATCAAGATCATAAATGACAAAACCTTTCGATCTCAGCCCAAATTCTTCATTTACGTAACAATATCGCCATACAATAGCCGGACTTCAATATTATTCTGAGATTGCGTGACTCTCTTACCTTCGTGCGATATGTTGAAATTTGTGACTTTAGCAACTTTAGACGGGAGTGCTCGCGCTATTCCATTGAATCCAATTGATCGAATTTAATCGATCGAGCATCAATCGAGCGTTGATCATGTCAAGTATTTGTGTCATATTAACGGGACCTTTCCTTTTCTCTACCGGTGACATTGTCCAGACGAATAATAATTGAAGATTGCTTCCGCGGACAATTTCGTTAACCGTTGAGATATTTCTTTCGAGTCGACGCTTATTACTCGCCGGCGAACGAGCGACGACTATGGCGACAGAGTTTCATCAGAGGAAATCTGGTGCAATGCTGAATTAACTTTTTGATCGTCTACTTTGAGTCTCTTTCGAGACGACGACGGACCGCCTCAAGTTTTCAGGGATAATTTATTTCGCGCAATTTATCAAACTATTTTCGAATCGATTTGAGAGATAAACGAAATCATGACTGATCAAGGAGTCTCCTTCGTACATTTTAACCGAGAAACAAATTCTGTCCGAAAAACGAGAAATCGAGGAAAAAATGTGCGATAAAATTACGGGAAATACATGACACGCCAGAGTCACACCGTGAAACGACAGAAAGAAGCAAACAACGATCGATCCGTTTATCCGCGGCCGTGTGATGTGTGTCAGCATCCGCTCGTTGATCGCACAGGTGAAGAATTATGTAATTGCGTGTCCTTCGTGTCAATTTCGATGACAAATAACGGGGCGTAATCGTACAACACGTAACAATGCAACAATTTAAGAAACGTAACGACCCTTTCTCACCGGAAACGTTATCCGCCTTAGGTATGTTTATGAAATATGACGAGATGGAAGGAGCGAGCGCCGCCTTACAATAAATCGTTTATCACGGATTCTCTCCGCGCATTAATGTGTTTGCAACAGTTTTTACTTGTTATTTTCACGAGAGTCTTTTCATCGCGTAGAAAACAGTGTATTCGAATGTCAATCTGCATCAGACTTTTGTAGCATTGTTTAAAGAAGCTCGCGAACAAATATCGCGTGGCTATTTGTTTGAACACGTGCACTTTCCGGTTACACGAATTTTTTAGTTCAGTCACGCGCATAGTTACGCGCGAACCGGTGTAATCGATCAAATTTTTTTCACCGGATATAACTCGTCGATTCCTCTTTCCGGAACGATGCGAACAGCAAAACAGTGCGCAAAGGTGTAAATCCGCGAAAGAGAATAATAAGAATTTTCGCATATCTCGTTAGAGCAGAAGATATGCAGTCTCCTTCGCGATTCGGGATGGTAATGAATTCAGCCACACTTTGTTGACGAGCCAAACTCTCTTTTCACATTTAACCGCGCTATTTCGACATGTGTCAATATCACGTCTCCGCTCGGCAAATATCAACACTGTTATATCAACACGAGATATTGTATCGCCGTTCGAAAGTGATATACCGCGCGAGGGTTCTTTGGTGATTGCCTCTCTCATCTAATTTTTCATCCGAAAAACGAAAAAAGATCGAAAAAACGAGAAAGAGGAACGGAATGCGCTTGTCACGCAACCACCACCATGCGTCGTTCGCATAAAGGACTCCTTAGCGTGTCTATTTTGTCATCGAGAAACTCTCTCGTCCAGTGCTCCTCCCCTCCTGGAAGAGACCTACCTAGAGGACCTCTGTCTCGCGGTTACCGTTCCGACGAAAGGTTTACTCGTGACCGTAATGTCAAAGAGGCAGATACGTACGCTCGATTATGCCCGAACGAGAACAAGCGGTGCGAGAACGAGCGCGCTCTGTGAACGATGGGAAATAGCGCGTCTCTAGATGGATATAAATTTAGAGACTCGGAAAGCAGCCAGTGAGAAGAGGGGGGAATAGATAAAGAAAATTCGTTCGAGCGAACATTAAGTCGATCAGACGCGTCATTACTGTAACGACTTATTCGTTGATTTAACGATTTCGATTGCAACTTGCAATTTCGCTCCGCTCTTTTATCTCAGCGTATATAACAGCTGGAGACGAATTATGCGGCGAATGATATAATGACTATAAGAGAGATGAAAGGAAGAGAAATAAATTGGATCTTATCGATGAAGACATGTGCGCTCTTATCCGTCGAACGATGTCACGTCCACATCTCGTTTTACTCCGGTTATTATTATTCGAGCGACAGAGTATTGATCTTTCGTTTAACGGGGCTAACTTCTATCGGAGTTTCGTTTGACTTGGGAGGCTTCGCGTATAGAAGCTGACGATACTCGTTCTTTTCCCTTGCTCCCCTACTGTCACGCTTGTGTCAATTCATGACAGTGCGCCGCGACGTGCTGTGTGACGCAATGTATTGTTTACGAGCCGCATTTCAATACAATCGTGTGAGAAACCGTAAGCGCGAAACGTGGGGAAGAAATGTCTCGGCGTATCCTTGGCACACCCCGAGCACTATTACCACCACTCCTGAGGTCACTTTCGGTCGTAAAAGAACCTAATTCGGCGTTTTTGTCCCAGCCATCTGTCCAAGGATACATGATTTCTCTTGCCCTCGCGTAAGTGCCACCGCCCATTCGACGAGGCGATTTTATTGGCATCCTTGCAGCTAGACGACCTGCCACGTAACAACCTCCTCTCGGAGTCCTCGTACTTCTTGCACGGAACGCGCGTTATTCCAGTGAAACTACTCCTCGTCCGAGCATCTAGGTGTCATAAAGCCATGCATGTGTGTGTGCAGACTGTCTTCTCGTTACTCAGCCGCAGATTATGTGAACCGTACAACTCTTCCTGCGGTTAGGGCATATTAAAAAAAAAGAAACATACAGAGTAATCTTCTGTCCAAATGTTAAAATTTTCTTAAGATTATTTAAAAATGAAATATTATTTTCAGTTATTTTAACATAATTATTTCAGGAG